TATTATCATATAGATTAGTTTTTTATATTTACATAAATTATCTTTTTATAAAGGGTATGTCAAAAATACCTTATACAAATACCTCCCAGATAAGGGTAAGACATTAGTGGCAATAGTGTCTTCATCTAACTGATGACTTACCATTCTGTAGGAGGTATTTCTGCCACACCCTGTACAATATTCACCTGATTCCAAAATATTTATTGCTTAAATATTTTTTTTTTTATAAAAACAAAATTGTATATTTCATGACCTTCTTTGAATTTAATACTTTAAATGAGAAGCTCACATTTGTAGGAGTTTCTCCTATTGAGACAATAGTTCTCTTATTGTTTCCTCTATTATCTTATTGCATTGAATTCTTATATATAATGTAGGAAATTGGAACAGTGTAGCTAATAACTAGTGATGATGATGATGATCAATTTGAAAGACATTGAGGATCTAACTGCCAGCATTCAAGAAATTCTCATGTTCACCATTCACATGATTTAAAAAAAAATATAATTTAAAAAAATAATTCCAAATATTTAATTCCTTAAAAAAATATTACTAGGCTCCAAACTGATCTTATGAATTGGCTTGAGCATTAAAAATTCTAAACTTTATTCTGCATGAGATCTTTCATGTTACAGTCTGTCAGCACGATTCTTTTCTTTACAATCATAACCAATTATTTGGAGCAGAAGGAAATTAGTTCAATTAAAAAACAAAAGACAAAACTCTCATCTCACCCAGTTATGATAAATTTTCTAACTGTAATTTGTATTTTGCCTTTCAGTGGCTTGGTAACCAATTTTGGAGGATAAAAAACACTATGCTACTTACAAAGAAAAATGTTTCTATATTTTTTTATTTAAAATATTGTAAAAGTTCATACAAAATGATTTCAATGAAAATAAAATATCAAGCTAAATAAGCTTAGCAAGAGAAATGACAAATTTTTTTTTTTTTTTTTTAACAAAGTAAACATAAAAACCAATACTTTTGTTGTTATATCTACTTAAGAATGTTTTCTCTTTATCATGAGTGAAATTCACAAACTTTTTAGAGCAGAAATGTTACACTTGGATAATCTTTCCAATCCTGTTCCTATTTTTGTGTATTTTAATACAGATCCTAAAAAGATAAGTTTACTAATGTGTCTGTTAGAAATTATAAAATACTGGGGAACTTATAAAACAATGTGAACATATTTATCTTTGGGACCTATTCACTTGTGTTGAAACTTTTTGATCCTCACTTGTAGCACTACTGTGGTGGCTTGCTTCATAAATAAGCATATTAACCTTTAAGAATAACAAATTAGTAATGGGGATTTAATTTAGTTTAAATACAAGGCAATAATCAGTGGATCTATGACTCTTCAAATTTAAAACTCCAATGTTAAAAAAAAATGTTGATGCTATATAGACTTCTCTAAAACTCAAACCTCTTTTCTTTTATCACTATAGACATGTGATATACACTATATACTTGTAGCACAATTAGATATTTTAACCATTTGAAAAAAAAGGCAACTTATCAACAAATTATACTATTTTAGTTTCAGAGACCTTAATAATAGGGATAGTCAAACCTACTTGATTTTATAATGACTTATAATTTTCAATGAAAATCTTCAGCTTGACTTTGATTGATACTGTCTTATATTTCTCATAATATCTAACATATTTTTCAAGACAAAACAGCTGATTTGTTAATTTTTATTTATATTTTGCTCATTGCAGAATTTTCTGCAACTTTCTCAGGCAAAGCAAAGTTTTTGCCTTCTCCCACCATCTTCATTTTATAATTTTCCCACACTGGTTTCCTATGGACTTCATCAGTGTTGGAACCTTGTCTTTTTTTAATACTCTGCCTATGAGCTCTGTTCACATTTTAGGGGTTAGCTTATTAATTTGAAATGCTTTGCTCCTGCCAGAGTGAAACACTTCTGTCTTATGTTGACATTAGATGCTTAAATACAGGAAGCTTCTCAGCTGAAATTTTTTTTTTGTGTCTTGGCTTCAAGTAAAGTAATTACATGAAGTAAGGATTTAAGATTTTTAATTTTTCAGATTAAAGTTTTAATAAGATTTTTTTCTTATTATAACACTTTCTTTTTTTTTTATAAAGTAGTTTTTCTAATTATTCTGTAAGATTACTGCAGAATCCATATTTCAATGTTTAAAATCTGTCATCTCAATTTTCTTTCTTCTCTCTTTCTCTTTAAATTATTGCATTGTAGATTTTAGTTGCATGAGTTTTCAAAGGAGAAATGCTTGTAATGTTTAACACTATTTTGATATAAGAAACAGTTTTTGAGTGCATTTCATATTTTTAAAATGCTTTCCTAGTTTTTCTTAAGTTATTTGATAATTTTTTTTTAGTTTGAATTATAATTTTTAAACATTGTACAAAATGTTAATACAGGATGTATCTATTTTAGTTTTATTTCTTGAAATTTTTTTTTTAATTTGAACATCTTTATTTTTTTAAAAGAGTAGCTGAAACTGGTTTTCATTATTACAAAACAAGGATCTTCCCTATAAAATTTTACAAAAAAAAAAATCCATACTACTGATTTTCTACCATTTACTGAAAATTAGTTATTCCAGTTTTTGATTTTTATTAAACTTGTTTTTTATCATTCAAGTTGGAGTTTTGTTTTTAATATTAGTGGTTTACTTAAAACATAATAAATATTATATACATACACATATATATATATATATATATAAAATATTAGTGGTTAATACACACACACACACGTGTGTGTGTGTATATATATATATATATATACAAATTTACAAGAGGATAGAATCCAGGTAGAACTCATTGTTAGGACAGAGTAAGAATATAATAAAAAGACTTAAACACTAATATTCCATGGTTATAATTTATTACATTGGAATCGTAATTACGATCCAATTCAAAAAGCTTTTTGAATTTGTAGGCCTTTGTAATAAATTATAACCATGTAATACTAGTGTTTAAGTCTTTTTATTATATATTGAAGCAATAAAACCCATCAGATAAAAAATAAATTGCTTAATTCTTTAGCAATATATAAGGTTTCAATTTAAATGCTGGATCTGCATTTAAAAACAATAGTTGCTTTTTTATCTTCAAGATTCCTAATCTCCCTGAAGTTAGTAATTTAGAAATACTATATTACTTATTTAAAGATATGTTTGGTGGTACAAAATTTTATCACTGCCATGAAAAGACAAAAATTAGTTTTATTATTACCACTCATGATAATAAAAAGTAAAAATGAAAAATGGGCTAGCTAACTGGTTTCGTACCTTGCTCAACAGAGCTAAATCGAGGTAAATAGAGTAAATTATATAATAAGAAAAAAGAACAATGGACAAAGTTTATTGATTGGGGGTGGGACTTTATATTACTTATATATGTGTTTTGGCATACATACAAATGTGAGCACACACACACACGTGTGTGTATATATATATATATATATATATATATATATATATATATATATATATATATGGCATGTGTCAAATTCCCTATTACAAGTAATTTATTAGACTTTCAAATTCAGAAAAATTCTCAAAGAATGTTAGAACAATTAACATCAAATATAATTTATATCTTTTTTTTTCTTTTTGACTGTTGGATTGTTTCACCTATCTTGACAGCTTGTTTTAATTTTTTTTCTTGCCTTCAGGATGAACCTCAAGTTTTATTAGTTGAATCAACCATTCCTCACTGGCTGGACATGAAGCATTAGTTGCTTGTTCCTAAATTTACTTTCCTATTAGTTAATGTTTTGACTAAATATATCTTTTCTGCATCTTGGTTGACTTTTTTCTGGTCAGTAGAATTAATAAGAGTTTATTTCTGTTCTCTCTCAAAATGGAGTTTTTTCTTTTACAAACATTTAATAAATCCCCTTTTACTGAGAAACAAAAATAATGTTATCATTTATGTTAAATACTTCTCAAACAAATGCAAATAATAGTCTTTGTTGCTTAAATTCCTAAAATCCTATCTTGAATTTTGTTTCTTATTGGTTAAACAGTTCTTAAAAAATGAATTTTGAATATTTATAATACACCTTTTAAATTTTGTAAACTATGACTCCTTTTATAAAGGAGTGAGTATTTGTGCTTGATACCATGTTATTTGGTTCATTTATATGTAAAATTGGAAAGTTATTTTATTTTTTATTAAATATGAGCCATTGAGTCTCTCTCTTTTTTTTTTTTTTTTTTTTTATTAATGAATAGAAATATTAAAATTGTACAGATGTAATTTAAATCATTAGCTTTATGTATTAAATAAATTTCAGTCTTACAAAGAGTATTTGTAATGCCTATTTTCAACAATTTGCTTATCAAATATTTACCTTATTTGAAATCAGTAATTTGCTGGCTGTGAAATAATTCTACAGAATGAAAATTTACTGATAAAACATCCTAACATGTTCTAATTGTTTTTATTCAGCTTATTTAGCAAAAATAACTTGAAAATGCCCTGAATTGAAATTAGGCACTCAAGTGTATATAAAGCAAATTATTTTAAAATTTCAATTTTTTTTTTTTTAAAGCTGTTTTTAATGAATTTTTTTTTTTTTTAAAAAAGCTATTTTTAATGAAAGTGGAGTGTAAAAGCACAAAATATATATATATATATAATATATATATATATATATATATATATATATATCATGGCTTTCTCTCTTATCAATTGAATAGTCTGGAATTTTCAAAAGTCATTTTACATTTCAAGTACAAAACTGATGTTTATTTGGTTGGGTTAGGGGGTAATTTCTGTATATCACTCAGATATTCATTGGGAGTTCAAGTAGAAAATATTGTTTCCTCACCCCACTTCTATGTCAACTCAGATAAGCGACAAGGGTCCTTTATTCACGTGCACACACACACACACACACTTATTTGAATTTTTTTTTCTTAGAACGTAGCACCCAACACCCAAAAACCCACATTTCCTTATCAGCTGCAATTTTTTGACATTTTTTTTTGTAGTTGATTCATCTTCTGATGATGATGACAGTGTGTTTGATGAAGAGAATTCCCGTAATGAATTTGGTCGCAGTGGCCGAGGACGAGAGAGTGAAACCAGTTCTTCTTCACACACTGATGCTGGGGCCTCCCCTATCAACAAGGCAACTGATCGACCCTACAGTGTTGCATATGCTAACATCAGCATTCCTGGCAATACAGCTCGACATGCTCTCGCTGATGTTATGCAGAATACCCGGCATTGTAAGTACCTGTACCAAGTGATGTGTAATCCTGGCACCTACCTGTAAATGGCTGACACACCAATTTTTGAATGATCCAGCACATGACACTTGTAAAAACGTTCCCTCGTCTGTTGATAACCATTGTGTGGCATTTTGTCTGCAAAACTCTCAGAATGTCTTTCTTTCTTTTATTTTTTTTGTTTATTTATTTTCTTAAACAGAAGAAATCAACTATGAATTGTTAAAATAGGAATCAATTAAGCGACCCTCAAAGATTTTTACATAATCGAATTCTTGCATATTTTTGTAAAAATATTAACGATACCAACCTAAAAATCATTTTCTCACTTTTATGTTCTTTCAGATTTTTTTAGTTCGCAATCATAATTTTAATTTTTAATAAATAGCTTGATAGTTTGTGATAGGTTAGTTAGGTACTTGGATAAATATTTTATTTCCTGTTAAAAAAGAAAAAAAAAAAAAAAGATTTAGTTTTTGATGAAAAACAAAACCTATTATTCTTGCTTCATGACAATCATCCTTTTCAACAACCTGATTTAATTGTAATCATTGGAAGGTGTAAAATGTGCTGTATTTTGAGACATTCTCACTTCATAACACTGTTTACTATTCTTTATATTCACTTGTGACGCTATCATTCCGAACTGGTGTGTTTTTTATCTCTCTCTCTCTCTCCATCAGACACCGTCCTTTCATACAATCATGCTTTTTGTGTGTTGGCTGTATGGGGCATTTTTTTTTCTTAATATCAATGAGTTGTGATATCAAATCAAAAAGAATTTAAAAAAAGAAAAAGGGATCCTTGTGTTTGTATCAGTTTTGATGCACAATTCTTTTTCATGATAACACTCGGTTCTTCAATGTAATTGTTTTATATTGTTGTGCTCTCTTGGTTGTTGTATTGCATTTGTGAATTTGATCAGTTTTTGCACTTTACATTAGGCCATTCCTCCCAAACAATTTGTTTGCGCACTCCTCATGTCAAACTAGTTTTACTTGATTATTTGTGCTATTTGTTTGTTTTGAAATGTTTCAACCACAATCCATCAGTGCTAGTAAATAGTATTTGCTATAATAACAATTACAACTTTAGATTTAAGCAGTTTTTTTCTTCTGGCTTTCCTTTTTAATGCTAAAACTTAAGATATAGATTCATCAAATTCAATAAATACTTTTCAGAATATTTAACCACTGGGCCCAATTAGATTTTGCTAAAACATCTTTTATTTTTATAGAAAATATATTTTGAAGATATTTTTGAAGACTTCAAAATCTTGAATATTGGTCACAGGAATTTTAAACTTTTTTATTTATTTGTAATCTACTTTAAATTGCTTTATTTAAAGCGAGATTTAATGCACTGAGTGATAGATTATTGTAATAATGCAGTTAGGAAGGATTCTTTTTTGTATAGGACTATTGTAATATTAAAGGCTCCACTAATGAATGGAAAACAAAAAAAAAAAATCTTGGGTCCAAAGGAATTAGAATGCATCTTATGAGTACTTGATAATCAGGCAATGTATAAACTGCTATTTCACTCCAAGAAAGAGTTCTTAGAAATTTCCATTAAAAACCTTTCTACACTTTTTAGGGCTGAGGATAAAAAAAAAAACATTATTATAATTTATTCTAAGGGCTGAGAATAAATTATAATATGGTTTTTTTTTTTTATCCTCAGCCCTAAGAAAAGTATAGTTAAAATTAGACCTCCAAAAAACTGACTTCCTTTATCCTATAAGGATTCTCCAAAAATTGAGTTGTCAGGAGTCTCAAGAACAGAATTTCCATTGACTGCATCAATGTGAAACACCAAAATAATAAGAAAATGAATTCTTTCACCTGAGTTTTTAATGTTTTGATTACTGTCAATATTCAAATTTTATTTTGGTAACTTATCAGTGAGGCTATTTTCTATATAAGATTATCCAGTGAGTAATTAGGTGGGGTGGCTTGAAATACAGTAACTTTTTGTTAAACATTTAAAAGCTAAGTTATTAATTTTTATCAACTTTATTATTAAAAGAAACAATACCAAATTTAAAATTAAAACTTTTTTTTTTTTTTTTTTTTTTTTTGTCACTAAAACCTGATAAAAATTAATTCTTACTTTCAAGGCAGATAATGTAAATTTTATTAGGCAGGTGCTCAGTATGTTCTTTTGCTTAAAGCTAAACATTTTATACTTTGTTTTAATAGGATTTTACAAAGCTTTTGTGTTGAAAACAATAGAAGACATATCTTTTTAATTAATGAAC